CTACCACCAATGACCACCTTGACAGGGAACACAAAAGAAAGTCCCTGATGGAGCAGAGAAAAGTGGGGTGCAGAACTCAAATTCATGTAAAAAGACCAGACTTAATGGTCTGACTGAGACTAGAGGAACCCCAGAAGACAGGGCCCCCAGACTCTCCATTAACCTGGAACTGAAACCATGTCTGAAGCTAGCTCTTCAAAAATTAGACTGGACTATAAGGCATAAAATGATACTCGTGAAGACTGTGCTTCTTAGTTCAAGTAGATACATAAGACTAAATGGGCAGCTCCTGTCCAGAGGCGAGATGAGAAGGCAGAAAGGGACAGCAGCTGGTTGAATGGACATGGGAAATCCGGGGTGGAAAGGGGGAGTGTGCTGTCACATTATAGGGAGAGCAACTAGGGTCATATAACAATGCGTGTATAAATTTTTGCATGAGAAACTAACTTGAGCTATAAACTTTCACCTAAAGCACAATTAAAAAAAAGAAGACTAATGCAGTTGCAAATTAAGGCTATATAAAACTATTTAAAAAGTTTAAAATTGAATCAATATTTTATATCTACCTTTGAATATATTCAAATAATGCAAGCTTTAGCATTATAAAGAATCCTTGAATATATTCAAATAAATCGAAGTTTGGCATTATACAGACAAAAATTTTGACAACTCCTTTTATTTTTTTTCTTTTACACTTATACTTAGGCACATATAGAATTCCTATTATTTTCAATAAAAGTCATTAAGTACAGTTAGGTCATCATAAATAAGTACATAACTTAAAATTCATTTTAATTGTTTGTTATTTTATCATTATACATAATACTTTACTAGTTCACCTGCTTCTTTTGTATACAAGTTTGTAAGGAAACTCCCAAGATGGATTAGGAAATAAAGTCATTTTAATAAGCACAGCGAATAAATGATATTATATCATTTCAAGGGGCGAGGGGGCCTATTTTCTCTTGCATATCTCCTAGAAGTAAATATGCAACAGATAAAAGAATAAAGTAGCAATTTTGCAAGGATCTGCCATTCCTTTTGCATGCATGGATTTTACATTTTAAAAATTTAGTTTAATTTAATCATGGTTATATGCAATACTACAGGTTCTTTCATTTTTCCTTACCCTCATCCCTTCAAATCGTGATAAGGCTCTTAGCGGTCTCAGAGCTCTTAGTGTCCTGAGAGATTTGATGGCACCAAGTTCTGAGTAGCCCAAGGCATTTGCTGTTAAACTGACCAATGAAACCTGCACAAAACAATAAAAGGAATTTTTGTCATTCAATTTGTAGTCATTATGTAATATAACGTGGAGTCCCTGGGTGGCTAGAACTGTTAAGCGCTGAGCTACTAACCAAAAGGTTGGCGGTTGGAACCCACCCAGAGGTGCCTCAGAAGACTTGGCGATCTGCTTCCAAAAGGTCACAGCCATGAAAACTCTATCGAGGGCAGTTCTCTACTCCGAAATACATGGGATCACCATGAGTTGGAATTGACTCAATGGCAACTGGTATGTAATATAACAAATAAAATCTTTGCTTGTAAACTCAGAAGATGAATGATTAGACATTTTGAGAAAACCATTTACAAATCTAAGAAAACATTTTTAGTTTGAAATAAACAAAGTAGTTTTTAAGACATTAATTAAAAGGTAGATGGATAAAAAATTTTAAAATCATGTAACATATTAATTATCCACTAATATACTAGTGGAGCCCTTGTGGTTCAGTGGTTAAGAGCTATGGCTGCTAGCCAAAAGGCTGGCAGTTCGAATCCACCGGCCACTTTTTGGAAACCCTATGGGACAGTTCTACTCTGTCCTACATGGTGGCTACAAGTCAGAATCGACTTGATGGCAATGGGTTTGGTTTTTTTTTTTTTTAAATATACCAGTGGAGCAATTAGTTAGAAAAATGAAACAAAAAAATTAATAACAGAAAGGAAGACATCCAGGTGGAAGAAAATGCCATTGGTTATCCTTTATTTAGTTGCTGTTGAATTTAGGGCTTTGCCATATGACTAGTTTATAAAATGCAATAAAATTTCTATTAAACCTGAAAAAGCCAAAAATGCCTATCCTGAATCTGTATATTCAGCATTATCAAGGATACTCTCAGCAATTGATGTGCTAAATTAATTTGAAAGGCGATATATGTGTTTTCACTTGCTTAAAGTTTATTTCTATGTAAATAATATAACTTAAAATGTAATTCCATCATAAAGCTTCCTCAAATTTTTCTATACAAATTTACAGCTTCTTCCACAGAATGTGGCCCAAAATGGCAAGTCAACAAATATTTACCAAATAAATTAATGAGTGGATTCATTTCATTTGTATGAAATATATATGACTAAAGAAAAAAATATATTAGGTATTTCATTCTCTAAATGCAGAATTTCTCAAAACTCCATATCCAAGTAGGGTTACAGTTTCTTTGGTTTGAATTGGACAGGAGCCCTGGTAGCAGTGGTTAAGAGCTGGGCTGTTAACCAAAATGTCGGCAGTTCAAATCCACCAGCTGCTCCTTGGAAGCCCTGTGGGGCAGTTCTACTCTGTCCTATAGGGTCGCTATGAGTTGGAATAGACTTGATGGCAACAGGTATGTTTGTTGTTGTTGTTTTTTAAGTATTGGACAGTTTCACATACACTGTACACTTTGTACGTCTTGTAAAATTTTCTATTTCGAAGTGTATTTAAGTTGCTTTAAATTTTACATTTTTTTTACATTACTTGAAGTGTGTTATAATTGCTTTTTTCTCTTTGAGACTGCAATATTAATCCTCATGAAATAATTAAAATGGAACATTGAACAATAAAAGTATTGGAAAACTGTAAAATTGTCTGTAGAATTATTTTCATTAAAAATTTCAGAAATTACTATTAAAAAACAAATTTTGAAAATAAATTCCTTTTTCCAATAAGAAGCTCAGATGCGTAATAAGCATAATTGTTGTGTTGTTAGTTGCTGTTGAGTCGATTGTAACTCATGGCGACCCCATGTGTGCAGAGTAGAATTGCTGCATAGGATTTTCAAGGCTGTAACCTCTGGGAAGCAGGTTGCAAGGCCTGTCTTCTGAGGCGCCTCCAGGTGGGTTCAAACCACCAGCCTTTCAGTTAAAGTTGAATGCTGAATTCTGCACCACTCAAGGACTCCAATAAGCAAAGCTCAGAAAGTTTTAAAAGGGTGCAATTATATTTAGATTTAAAATCTAGTGTAAAAAAAATCATGAGGAATTGAAATATGATATAACTTCTAATACATGAAACCTCAAATTAGACACGTTTCCCTTTTATGATAATGATGAAGAAATTATTCTTTCCAAGTTTTCTCTCATCCATTCATTTCATGGTAATATTATTAAGCTTTTCAAATTGCTTTGGCTTTGCCTTTGTTCAGAATCACAGAGATACAAAATATGCATCACTGTTAGCTCTAGAATTATTTTCTCTAAGAAACTGCATAGTTTTGCTGTATTATTATCCCTTTAGAATAAAACTGTTGTCTATAAATCTCTGATATTCTGGACATATTTCTTCCAAAGCTGAAAGCATGCCAGACTGATAACATGAAACAGATATTTAACAAATCTGAAGGACCCACTTTAGGGTAAATGAAGTGTTAATCATTGGGTTACAAACTCTGTGAACGGCTATTTGGTACGCAGGAAGTCCTCGGGTTAAGAACGAGATCTGCTCCTGAGTGTGTCTTTAAGAATGTGTAGGTAGGTCAGGATAGGTGCATACGGTTCTTACTTAGCCTTACTTTAGTGCAACAAGGAGCCCTGGTGGTGCAGTGGTTAAGAGCTCAGGCTGCCAAACAAAAGGTCAGCAGTATGAAACCACCAACCGCTCCTTAGAAACCTTATGGGGCAGTTCTACGCTGTCCTATAGGGTCGCTATGAGTTGGAATCCACTCGACGCAACAGGTGTGGCTGGATTTTGGTTTATTGCAAGAAAAAGCTCGAAGCAACTGAAGGTGATTGTGATGTAGAATTTTTTGCGGGCAGAGGTTAGTTCAATCCTTTCAAAGTGAGAGAAAATTTACATAACATTAAAGGGCAAGTACGATTGTCCGTAAATCGGAAATCGTTAACTCGGGGATTTACTGTATTATGGGCTTGCTGCAATTCTAGTCTATATTCTAGGTAAACCCCCACAGTACTGCAAGATATAGAGTTGTCTTTCTCTATACTCCGGCACACCTTGCTTCCATTATGGAGTTAAAACCGGTACCAGTTGCTGAATAGTCAATTCCAACGTGGCAACCCTTACGTCTATTAGAGTAGACCTGTACTCCATAGAGTTTTCAAGGGTTGATTTTTGAGAAGTAGATCACCAGAGCTTTCTTCCAAGGTGCCTGTCGGTGGACTCAAACCTCCAACTTTTTGGTTAGCAGCCAAACCCATTAACTGTTTTCACTATCCAGGGATTCCATAATGGAGTTATCTATCCTTTTAAATTTTTTATTAGATCAAACAGAATTTTTTTTTAATGATAATAGACCACCTCCCTTCCCCAGTATCACTGTTTATTGAGAGCCTTCAATAATGTATTATTATCACCATTTTCACAGGACCAGGGCCAAATAACTTACTCAATGGCATACAACCAATAAACGGGAGAGTTGGGATTCAAATTTGGATCTGATTCCCAAACTCAGCTGTTACACTGGATTATCTACTTCAAGCAACATAACACTTCAAATTCCCTATTTTACCACTTTTCTTACAAGTTGCGGCTGTTTGTTTTTAAGCTTTTTATTCTAGATAACCTGCCATAAATCCCTTCCTCCCAACCTTATTTTAAATCAGTACTAGAGTGGCCCATTTCTTCCAAAACCTATACTATCACTCAGTGAGTGAATTTAGTGTCTATTAAGTGGCACCCTTGTGAAAACAACACAGTGGTTAGAGGTTCGCTATTTTAGAATTGGCATAGAAACCAGACAAACTACCTTGAATGGAATACAAAGATATGGAGGATACTTACATCAACAATTAAGAAGTCAAGCCAACACCAGGCATTGGTGAAATACGTTTGATAGCCATATGCTACCCATTTTAGAAGCATTTCCAGAATGAAAATGTAAGTGAAAACCTTATCAGCATATTCCAACATAGTCTTAATTGTCTTTCGCTGATCAATATATATGTCTTCGAATGCCTATAAGGAAAAAATTACACATTTCAGTTTTCAAATGCTATTACAGTTTACAAGCTACATTTTTCTTATCCATCAATCCATCCATCCATCCATCCATCCATCCATCCATCCATCCAATCTACCTACCTACCTACCTATCTACAGTGAAACCTATGAGAGCAGGAACTTGATGAGACTGCCTCGTTTTTCTGGGTCTCCCAAGTTTTCCGTCTTTGACAGGGTGCTTACCACTTTTTCTACCTCTCTCTATTAAGAATTCTACTTCATAAACACCCAGCGAGTTTTCCTTCCCTAACAGGTTTCTGCCTTACACAGGTTCTGGCTTTTGCAGATTTTACTGCAACTATCTATGTAATTTCATTGGAATAGGAGGACAGAGGAACAGTAGCTATTGCTGTTTATTTCCTCAAAGAGCTTTCAACTATTCATGACTAAATAGCCAGAAGAAAGAAGTAAAAGTGTAATTCCAATAAATTAATTTGACTTGCTCAAGAAATAGTTCTTGATATCATGTCGTGACGCTGCCACCTTAATTTGAAGTTGTTTGTTTCTTTTTTTTTTTGCTTCCTTCTGTTGGGTTCTTTTTTTTTTTTTTGCTACAGAAGAGAGTATGAAGAAATAAAAAGTGAAGGCCCATATTTCATAAAGCAGAAATTGTGATTGATCATCACATTGTCCAATTTTGCTAAACATTTAGGTTCATCTGCCCCTTTCTTGTTTCTTTACTTCTGTTCATAGTCAACATTTCTCTGCAGAGAGATGGTGTGACAGCAATGGTAAAATAAAATAACTTCTCATTTAGACCATAATATGTATTATTCTAATATTAAGCTCTCTCTGATATTTTACATCTAAGTATACATTCTTTTCAATGGTGAAATTGAATTTATTGTCTAAAGTGGCTTGTAGAGAAAATTTATTTCATCAGAGAAATACCTAGGAAGATATATAGGTCTGTGTTAGAATTACAAACTTAACTGAAAGAAACTTGTAGGTAATTGTATTTCAGTTATGTAAATTCTTCCTCCTTCCCTCCTTCCCTTCTTTCCATTCTTCTTTATCTATCTAATTGCTTAAGTATTCCATTTCTTAGTATTTTTTAAAATGCTACCTATGTGTTATACTTTATATCTTTAAAAATGATTTTTCCTATAAATATAAATTGATTCTGCTGAAATGAACACCTTCTTATAAAGAGAAACCAATCCTTAAATGAATCACTGAGGAATGTTGCCCAATATTTATTGTTACCGACATTCACTGTTTCCTGAGCAGCAAGAGAATAATGAACACAATTAGAAAGAGACAGAGAAATGATCCCTCAGGACTAATCAACTATCTCAATGATAAAGTAATATTACCATTCAGAAACAAAATTTATCAAAACTCAGAACATACATATTCTCAATCACAGAACTTCCATTAACTACAATGTGGTTGCCATGCTTATTATCTTATTACATATGAGTAATTGAATATTCATATTCTTTGGGTTATAATGAGTAAGGTGGAAGGCCTAATTTTATGGGCTACTTAATAATAAGCAAATATTAATAAATAGCTTATTATAAATATACTTATACATAATAAAAGTAAATCCAGAAATGTATACTTACACATTTTATACATTAAGTGTATAGTATGAAAGATATGAGGTAGAGTAATTAAAAATTCTTTGGCTGCTAGGACAGTGCAGTAGAAAGGATTAATAAGTCATCAGTATTATAAGATTTTAAAAATTGATATTGTAGCATTTTTGCTTACTATTCACTCACCAGAGCACCACTACTAAGGAGAATCATGAAAACAATGAAGGTCTCAAACCAATTATGTTCAACAATTCGGAAACATGTTCTTCTCAGGTTCCACCATTGTTTTCCTCTTCCGTCTTCCACACTGATTTGACAACATTTGAATCTTTGTACACAGCCTGCAAGCATAATATTTTTATAGGAGTAGATAAAATAACTTCTGCTGCTTCAATAATATTCTTTGGCATGTCCCTGATTTGTCTTTTCATTACTACAGGTCTCTCTATCTTGCTAGGATATAGGATATAAGCCTGGAATAATAAGGACACCATTCATTAACTGCATGAAGTTGCAAAAATTATTCAACTTCTTTAAATGGTTCCCTGCTATTAATACCTACTTTTTCTACTTCACAGTGTTGTTGTCCAAGAAAGAACTTGTAAAGAGTAAACCACAAATAAATGTATTTTTGTCTTGTACTATATCATCCTATTGCACTCAGCTGAAGTCACTCTAGAAAAGGACTTTGAAATAAAATTAATAATAATAGACAGAAAACTTTCTTTTAAAAGAGGGTATAGAATCTCCCATCAATGTTGGATTTCTCACTGTTCGGGTTTTCTTGGGGTGTTCCTAAAAGAGACTAACTGATTTTAATTTAGTGCACTAAAATATGATTTTCCTGCCCCTGCTCTTGTTTGTCATTGACTTCCTCATCCTGCTTTCATGCACTCTGGCATCATAATTACATCAACAGATTCTTAACAGTGCCTTTGTAAGCACCACAGAGGATACAAAATAATAATAATGATAATGTACAGAACATGTACATTACAACTAGGGACTTTACATTCTGGTTTTCAAAAAATATATATAAACACAGGAAGGTGGGTCCTCCACACCCTCAACCCTCCCTCAAAAGGAAAAAAAAACAGGCATACTGGAAGAAAAGGGGAGGAAGAAAAAGAAAAACGAGGAGAAGGAAGGAAAGGACAGAAGGAGGGAAGAAGAAAGGAAAGGAGAGAGGCAGGGAAAGGAAGAGGAAAGGAAAGACAGAAGACAGTAAATACGCGTATACAACAATTCAAAAGTGAAAGAAGAGTTCTCATAAGGTTGCCATGCATTGGAATCGACTCGATAGCAACTAACAACAACGATGTATGACTAATAATTAAATGAATTATATGGATGTATTTGTTACAGGTGTTTAGAAGAGTAAGCTCTTTTACACTATAGTCAGTTGAAGGTAGGTTTGAGAAGGACTTTCAATGGGTATGATTTCTATAGGAAATAGAGGCAGACTGAATACGTATCAGCCTTATAAGGACAAGACCATCAAATAGATAATTTGCAAATATATTCACATCTATAAAACTCAAATCCCCAAGGAAATCAGACCATGAGAAATACCAGTCATGGGAAAAACCTACGTCTTCTATCTATCGCCCATGTTGTAACAGTCTTAACCAGATACTGTTAAGGCATCAGGTGTCAAGGTCAGCGCTTGTTTCCTGTTCCATCCAACAAGTATTGGAAGAAGATATTTTTCTTTTAAAAAAAAGGGTTTAGCATTTGTAATTAATTTAGTTTTAGTAGTTACTTTTAAGGCAAGTTCTGTGCATGAGAGACTGTATTTTGAGTAGCTTATCCGATGCCAACTTATTGTGAAATCAGTATTTTATTTTTTGAAATTATAAGTTTATGTGTTAAAAACTGTAATTTAAAAAAATTGTTAGTTTTGATTATCTTAAAACAATTTTCTCCTCATTGTTCATGATCCCTTCTATGATAAACAAAGATAATGGAAAAATAACCTAGATTTGAAATCCTTTTTGTCTGTTAATATCTTAGCGGTAATAGAAATAGATCTACTACAAAGTTCTGCTCTGTTCTGGGGTGATCCATTCTGAGTGATCAACAGTTTAAAAATACTCACTCTACAAATGGAAGAGTAACCTAAGGATCATTTTCTTTACCTTCAGTGAAACAGGCTTCAGGTTCCAGGGTTTCTTCAGGTTCCACTACAGGCTGTTCTTCTGCAGGCGCACCTATGTCTACAGTGCTGCCTTCCGATGAGCTACTGCTCCCATTAAGTTTCTGTACATGAGATGGACATAAAAAGCAAATCACTTCTATTCTGGTAACTAATAAATGCCCTAGTAAGAAAGAATTCGTTCCATGAACTTATTTTGAATTCTTCTTGAAGTAAAGAGATTTTAAGTGTAGAACAAAAGAAGAATTGAAGAGGAAATGAGGAAATCATTGTCTACGTTTTCTTCCCCATAATTGACAAAAAATCAGATGGCTGTGTTATGAAGTTAAAAATGTCCATCAGCAATATATACTAAGCGAACCACTGTCCTGTGAATTTGGGAAGCATAAGAGAGAGGGAGAGGGAGAGGGAAAGGGAGAGAAAAAGAGAGAAAGAGGGGATCCCTAGAATCCTACCTTAGAAGGAAATAATGTCATTACTTTACTCTGCATTTTAATGTTTGGTGTTATATATTTATTTAACAATCTCTTACTTGTGAGCAAATACTACCTGTTGTTTTCACTCACATTACTAATTTTCATAGTTAGGGTGTTCAGAAGTATTTATTATAAATGTGTTAATATATGTATATTCCTTGTGCACTCGGGGAAGAAGTTGTTATAGAAATACAATAGGTGAAAAATACATCAATGAACAAAGGACTTTAGACACATTAAATTAACAATTTCAATTTCTGGCTAATACTGTAGAGACTGAAGTGGTTATAAGCTAAGTAATGTGTAGGAAAATTAGGTTTCCCTGACAAATAGTGGTTATATTAACGTGCCATGTGAAGAATGAAAGAAGGAAATCCAGTTAAACAATACTTTCTTTTATATTTTTACAGTATTAATGGGACATGTATTCCTCTTTCTAGAGTTTAAGATATGCATGGCAGAAATAACGGAAATTTCAATATGCCCCCTAAAACAGGAATATATCCTGAATGTTCTCCCTGAAAATCAGCGTAGGTTTTTAAATTTTTGGTGAGAGTAATTCATTTATTCAGTAATTTAAAACTAATATTTACTGAATATTACCTATGTACTAAATTTTGAGTATTAATCGGTGAATAAAATATCTGTGGTCCTTGCCTTCATGGGGCTTTCAAATCTAGTACAGTGTTTCTCAAGCTTTAGGCTTATGTAGATCATCCAACAGGTATTTAAAAACACACACCAACCAACCATTAAATCTGTTATTACAATATTTTAAATAATAAAAATGAAATACATTAAAATTACTAATGAGAATTTCATATGTTTAAGAAAGCTGATTTTGGGGGAAAAATTTCATGAAATTATTTGTTCAAAGAAGGATAGCTCATAGGTCTGCGTCCATATTCAGTTGCTTTCTTCCTTTATTTTTCATTTCTTATAAAATTCAAATATTTTAACCCACAATTACAAGTCGTCAGGACCTTTAATGATACAGTAACTCTGTCATATTTCCGAATAGATTAAAGATGGTTACAGAAATTACATGAATGATTTATCACTGAAGACAAATATTAAATAGGCCTGCAGACCACACTTCTACCGAGTGGCTGCAACAATGGGCTCAAACATAGCAACAACTGTGAGGATGGCAAAGGACCAGGCAGTGTTTGATTCTGTTGTACACAGGGTTGCTATGAGTCAGAATCGACTCAGTGGCACCTAACAACAACCACCACCACACTCAAAAGCTGGAAGGCTGAATGTTCAACGTGGGATAGAGTAGCAAACAGAATTTTAATCTACTTCTTGGTTGCATTCAGCTGTGAAAATCTTTATGTTCTATTCCGGCATTTGTACTGAATTAAAAACACATCCAGTAACAAGTCATTGGTTTCTTCTTCTGACAAATAAAGATAATCATCAAATGTTGGGCTTGAGTCACATCTCAACCACACCATTTATAAAACAATCTGGTATTCTGAAGAAATTCTGATATCTTCTCTTACCTCAACATTAAAAATAGAGATTTAGCATTTGGCCCTAAAGTTATAGATTTAAAGTAAGATGTGTCACTTCAATAAATGACTCAAAAGTATAGAAATGACTTTTATTGGCATTATAAGAGTCATGAAAACAGTTCATTCATTATTTTATAAAAACCATGTTTGCAACATTTTGTCGTCACCCAGTGCTGTTCACAAGAAAAGCAGTCTTGTACAAGGTGCTCATTGTTCATGCAATAATCAGTGCATGCAATTGGAGAAGTTTAACCATTTTCACCATTTTCTTTAATACTAAATAAGAACCAGAAGGCATATTGTTTTCTTTGAGTAAATGTGTGTATGGAGTGGCATTCAGATGAAACAAGTTAATTTCAATGGCAACTCTTCTTTGCTATACACATAGCTGTTAGATCTGATCCCCACATACGCTTTCCAGTCTACATTAACCAAAAAAAAAAAAAAAAAACCAGTTGCCGTCGAGTCAATTCCAACTCATAGTGACCTTATAGGTCAGAGTAGAACTGCCCCATAGGGTTTCTGAAGAGCAGCTAGTGGATTTGAACTGCCAACCTTTTGGTTAGCAGCCAAGCTCTTAACCACTGTGCCACAATTAAGACTCACAAAACAAAATTAGAAACAAAAGAAACAGTGGGATTACAAACTTACAATTCCTTTGCCAACTTAAAAGTTTCCATGGAGAAAATATTATGATGAACCTAACAAGTAAGCAAGTAAGGGCATCTACAATTCACCCTTGAAGTGAAAAACAACAAACCACACATTGATACTGTCAACTGGTAATCAAATTTTATATGCTAGGAATAGTGTCCTCACAGAAATTATTTCCTTAGTTGCAACAAGGTCACTTTTTGTTAGCTGTAGACATGCATTCTATTTAATTTTTGTTTACAGTAATTCTGCCAACATAATTATATGCTTGTTATAAAGTAAATGCCTAATAGTAACTTAAGGGCAAGCAATAATAAAACCCTTTAGTATGGTATTACTTTAACTCACAGGGAAATTTTTAAAAATAATAACTGCAAAATCTTTAACATTTTTGGACAAATGCAGTTTTTGCTTAGCATAATTCTTCGCACTGTGCATTTTGCCTAAATACAAATAGTAGGCATCATAGCAAACTTTGTTTGCATTACTATATATAATTATTAATCACCTAGATTTCAGTTTTTCAATCATCAACTTTGAGTCCCAAGGTAAAAAGTTGTGAACCTAAAATAATATAAAATTAATTTTATGTCCTGCCTACCTGTTGCCTCACTAAATATCCTTCCCCGATGTGTCTGTCCTGGATGATGGTAAAATAAATTACTACATTTTCTTCTGTACAGAGTTATTCCAGCTCTTATCGGGTCAGACTTTGTCCAGGTGAGAGTGCTATTGCCAGTACATCTCACCTTGCTCTTAAGAACATTTTTTAAAATTATTTGTTCTTGTTTTAAAACCTAACTTTGTTACCAGTTACTGACTATATTTCTCAGTATTGTTGTTGTTGTCCGTTGCCGCTGAATTGAGTGTACCTTCCCTTCAATACATACTGTTGAGAGTCAGTCTACATTTTAGAAATCTGAATCTCTGGGTGGTGCAAAGGGATAATGTGGCGGTTCCAGCCTGGGAAGAAAGGCCTGGTGATCTACTTCTGAAAAATCAGCCATTGAAAACCCTATGGAGCACAGTTCTACTCTGACACTCATGGGGTCTTCATGAGTCAGAGCTGATTTGAAGGCAAGTGGTTTTAAAAGGTGATTTAAAAGATGATTAAAACCCAAAAAACCAAGCCTGTTGCTGTCGAGTCAATTCCGACTCATATTACATGCCCATTATTAGTATTTCAGTGGAAGTCCTGCTTTTGGGAAGTTTCTAGGCAGAAAAGTGATTCTCTAGATGTTTACAAATTAATTCTCAAAAATTTATTAAGCAATGTAAGTCTGTATGAACTATTGTAGGAAAGTAGAAGTGTGCCTGATGGCACTCAAACTCAACGTGCTCTCAAAGTAATAACTTTTTTTTCTGTCCTAAACCTACTCCTTTAACCAAGTTCCTCATTCAGCTTATTTGCAGTACCATTCTTTTAGCATCCAGACTTAAAATATCCTTTTTCACTCTTAATTATTTCAAATACTGACAGTAATTTAGATTCAAATTTACTTAATTCTACTTCTGAGATATCTCTTCTCTCAGCCTCATCCTGCAAATTCCTATGACCTATTAGTTCACTCTTGTCACCTCTTCTTTGAAGAGCTATAAATAATAATAGTCACTCCTGTTCTGGGCTCACCAAACGCTAGACCATAGGGTGGGCATGGGCATGGCCTATGTTAGATGCCTAATAAATGTTTGGCTAACCAATGAATGAATGGATACCTGTCTTTAAGACGACATTACTGTCAGAGAAAACTTTTGTTTCCAACTTAGTTTTCCAGCCAAATCTCCCCAATCTATATTTCACGGAAGCAACGTTTTCGTCAAGGCAAATTTATTAATGTTCTCTGGCTTTTGCTCATAGTGGAATAAAAATAATTGCTCTCTCATTTAAATCTGTTTGCTTTTTATTGTAATCTAACTCCATCCTAACTGACTTACCAAATTAACAATATTTTGCATTTTCTCTGTAAAAAACACTGATGATGCCCTTTGTGTGTTGAAATCGCTCAAGTGGTTGACTACTCTCTATTGTATCTGTGCATTTCTACTTCCATCGGGTGGGTTGTATGCTTATCAGGAATAAGTTACATCCACCAAACATTTTTAAAAATTATAAAATAAAAAAATAAGTTATGTTGATTTTAAATCTGTTTATGCCAGATTTTTTTTATTGTATTATGTAATTTAACTTAATCTTGCACAATTTGATAAAATAAAGTTAGCTGTTGCATCCATAAAAACTAAGTTGAAATCACTGAATAAACTTAATAAAAGCAAGTTTCTCATCCTTCACAGGCCTACACATAAAAAGTAACTTGTAAAATTCAGTATGGATGAGATTGTTTTAAAAAATAAGGGGTGGTGATGTAAATTTCTAGAAGGATGTTAAATTCAGTTAGCTTCACAAATTTCAAGTTCTTTGTCCCCTTTGAAGAAATTAAACTGGAATCACAGGTG